GGAACAAAAAGAGATCAATATATTGAGCCTTAGCAACAATAAACAAAAATACAATTCATACATGTGCAGTAAGAAGCATGACATCAGTGGCATAAATGATATCAGCCAATGAATGTACAGGTAGTAAGAGAGCAGCCTGTAGGTCCCGTGACCAATCTCTGGGAACAAAGTTTTGAAAGTGTTTTTGTGTTCCCTGATGAATACCGAACAATTTTGACTTGGGCTGCCCCCTTGAAAATCCCAGGCATTTTCGTGAGGGGTCAACAAAGGTCATACAGGGTAGAAATTCAAATATATTCCAATCGTGTCGATATGCATATCAAATTACTCGTCCGGTCATAAGGAATAAAAAATGTATAGTTTGCTATACCTCCGACCTTAAATGAGGGCGCTATGGTCAAAAACGTTGAAAGGTCAACACACTTTTGACTGGTGGTCAAATTCACCAACACAGTTAACCTTATCAAATTTGATATCAAATTACTCGTCTGATCATGAGGATTCCAAAAATGTATATTTTGTTATACCTCCGACCTTAAATGAGGGCGCCAGTGTCAAAAAGGTCAATGCACTTTAGACTGGTGGTCGAATTCACCAACACAGTTAACATTGTCCGATTCTTATGATTTTAGGGTCTTATAATATGTTTTCTGACATGGCGATTTCAACTATACAACTTTCAAAAGTAAAAGTGCTTACCTTGACCATGTACATTCAAATGGCTGCTGTTTCGGTGACAAACATTTAATAACTTCTTATCCATGGGTTTGAGGGAAATTTCAAGGTTATGGCAACCACTTTTGATTTTAAAAGTTGCTTATTTATCATCTAGGATTATATATATCATTCATTATCTTGTATTATTTCATTTAAACTCTACTCTTCTACTTCTTCTCGTGGACCTCCTCTTATTGGAGGCCATTTTCTTCTTTCTTTCTTTTTTTCAGGTCATTTGCATGTATACTCTAAAAATTAAAAACTGTGATATTTGGTGTAAGTATTAGCTTGCACTTGAATCGAGCTTCACCATTGTCATGTTGATTTTTTTTAATGATAAAGTGGCATCGTCAACTATGGAGGCGATTTTCTTTCTACTGTTTAAAATGTTTGTTGTTGTTGTTGCAATTTAGCATTGCACATTGGCCTTGAATGGCGGAAATTGTTTGTGAATAATTGATACACATCACTTTGCCTACGTTATTATTTGCTTGCGCTTTCTCAACACTGCACACATCAGATTATGATCACCTACATATCCTAATCATAGTAGAGTTAAATTCGGTTTTCAACAATACTAATAGCGGTGTTCATGACATGGCTCATTGCATTGATAATGATGATATGTGTATGTCATGCACGATTCATTGCACTTCTGGTCGCCATGGAGTTCATTCTCTCTCATCTCGTTTCTATTTTTTACCAATGCTGATAAATAGTGATTTCATTTGGGCAGGTTTTCAGTTCAGTGGAAGATCCATTTTTAGGGGTATTTTATTTCCTTTTTATTCTTTGGGGGGGGGGGGAGTTATTAGTAAAAATTGAATCATATTATTTGTGTGCGATAGTGGATTAAGTGGAAAGGATTAAAACCCCAATACTTTGACGGTTATACAATATTTAGGTTTGAACTGTTTGCCTAACTATGTGATAGAAACAGTCTCCCGGACGGACATAATGTCGATAGTCAGAGTATATTGATGAGCATTAAAGATACTATGTCCCATTTGCAGGCCAAAAAAATGAAAAAGTTAAATTCCAACTGCATTTGAAAGATAATACTAATTTAGAACTTCCCTAAAAAAGTTGGGGCTTGAAAATGTCTTCAAATTGGAAAATAACGACTATTAGTTGTCAAATCGACTTTAGGGCTATAGAGCCCAAAAGTAATAGTATTGATTTTCAGACGATTGTACCGAATGGTCATACGTTTTATGCTGCGCAAAGATTCAATCAGTTTAATCTTGGCCATCACAAGAAGTGGGTTATTGATGTAGACAAATGCTCATGTACCCTTTACAACTCTTTTCATGTATGTTATTACCAAAGAAGAAAAAAAGCCAGTCAGTCACTCAATAGTGTCTGACAGTGAAGTCTAGCAGGTAAACGGGTTTCCTTGCATAATTTGAATATGAGGACACTGCTAACGTTTAAATTTCACAAATAGGACATACATGACATATTCATAATTCCTGCAAAGTTCTACAGAATTTGAAGAAATCATTACTCTTTGCTAGCCTTCTTCAAACCGCATAGCATTATTTGGTTTCAATACATAATGCACAATCATTACAATGGATTCTCTTTTTTAGGTGTAACACATACAGTATAATTTAATTTCACAGCAACCAACAACAAAGAAATTACAGCTTTCTTGAAAGTTTTGCAACAAAATGCTAATATTTAAATTCCCAAAGTCATACTTGTAAATGTAATGTAGTCTTGACCGATGCCGAGTACATCGAGGCCTATTTCATCCTTACGAAAGCACTATAATACATCCTTTCATTTGTACTGTCAAAAGATTATGAATGCGTTTCTGTTCATTATGATTATATAAATATTTCAAATACAGTTACACATTACATTTTGGCACTCTACAGGATACGTATATAAAATTATATATATATCAACGAATCCCACTCAAAACATTCAACAAACTGATGAAGGTATATTTATGTTCACACAGTAAACTATTTCAGAAGATTAGATCTCCGTCATCGTCAGTAACACCTATGAACAACAAGTTTGAAGGAAATAAGTTATCAATGTCCTCGAATGGTAGAAATTGTTTTTGAATAATTGATCAACATCACTTTGCCTACATAAAAATTGAATCATATTATTTGTGTACGGTAGGTGATTAAGGGGAAGGATGAAAACCAAATACTTTGACGGTTTTACAATATTTCGATTTGCACTGTTTGCCTAAATGTGATAGGATAAATCTCCCGGACATAATGTCGATAGTCAGAGAACATTGATGAGCATTAACCAAACTTCCTCTTTCGTGTGTATTTTCGGTTTTTGAATTTCCATTATTTCTTCACAGAAAGACATTTGAAGTTCATCGAATATATTTACAACCATGAACGCTTAAACATAACGAACAAACTACTGTTTGGAAATCGCTCGTCTTTGCTCACCTTCTTCAAACCGCCCAACATTATTTGGTTTCAAAACACAATGCACACTCATTACACAGGGGCGGATCCAGAAATTTCTTCCCGGGGGGGGGGGGGCACACGGAGGGTAAGAGAACATATATATATTTTTGTTTTAGTCCCAAAAAAATCGGGGGGGGGGGGGGGGGGTAAGAGGACACTTTTTTTTTTTTTTTTTGGTCACGAAATTTGTAAAGTTGACATTTTGCTCCTTTGGTGGGGGGGGGGGGGGGGATGGGGTAAGGTCACCTTTTTAGGTCAGCCATTGGTATATATATCTATTTTTTTTAAATTTAATTTTGGGGACCGGGGGGGGGGGGCACGTCCATTTTTTTCAGGACATTTTTGGCGAATTTAGGGCTGATTTTAACATGTTTTTGGGCGGCCGGGGGGGGGGGGGCACGTGCCATCTGTGCCCCCTGAATCCGTCCCTGTTACAAAGGATTCTCTCTTTTTAGGTTTAACACATACAGTTTAACTTAGTTTCACAGCAATCAACAGCAAAGTAGGATTGAAAGCAATCTAAAACGTTTTGCTACGAAATGCTAATATTTCGATTAAAAAAGTCATATTTCTAAATGAAATGTAGCCTTGACCAATGCTGAGCACTGCACAAAGTCCTATATAATTCCTACGAAAGAACTATAACATATCCTATCATCTGTACTATCAGAAAACTAAGACTTCATTTTTGTTCATTATAATTAAATAAATATTTGAAATACAAATAAATATTGCACTCCACAGGATACATACGTATATATACAAACGAATCCCACTCAAAACATTAAATAAACTGATCAAGGTTAAGTTCACACAGTAAACTATATCAGAAAATTAGATCTTCGTCATCGTCAGTAACACCTATGAGGCTATGAACAACAAATTTGAAGAAAATAAGTTGTCAATATACTGAAATATTATGTACAAGTATTTATGATTAACAAACAATCGCTAATGATTTTTTTTAAAACTACAAGTGTCTCCAATCGGTTAACCTAGGTAAATAATTCGATAATTTAAGTTACACTTCTGCATTCTCAAAATCTTACGAGATTGCATTTAGATTCCATACACTATGACGTTTGACTATAGTAATGTTTCATGCTTTTTTATTTTGGCCAAGATATAAACATCTTAGTTATGAGTATGGAATGTTTGACAGCAAATGAGAGTTTGATAGCTAGTATTCGAGCAAGCATGATATAATGCATATCAATAGATATTTGGTTTTAAACAAACCGGTATAATATTACGTTTGCAACATACACTTTTATTCAATTAACTCTCAGACTGCCTCAAACTATAAACATATTTCAATCCGTTGTTTCATTAGTTCATTAGTGTCCCTTTAAAAACATAAAAAATTCATGCCCTTGGCAATTATTTGACTTGGGTCTTTTTCTCCAATGTAATGTGCAATATCTAATTCGAGATTACACTATATTGTTATTTAAATACTCATTCTAATTTTATTAAACAACTTTCTCGATCTAGATGAATGCTGCCATTACCTTTATATTAAAGGGGAAAACGGAATAGAGACTGTCATTTTTACTTTTACGGTTTAATTTTGTTAATGCTTAATTTCGATTTTTGTATAGCAATTGTTAAATACTTTCTCAACTCTTTCGCTCAAACAACTTCCTTTTTTTTTCTCCATTCTCTCCTTCCCACCGTCTTGGTCTTTAAACATGAAAGTATATTATTACATTAAACTTATAATTTTGTTTTGCAATTTCGATTTCATCTAACCAATGTTAAATAATTTCTGCAAAGGTTGACGTACAATATGTATTTTTAGTTTTGTATATGTTTATATCTCTCTATATTTTTAACTTGTTTGTGAATAGAACATTTTCAGCCTGCGAGCTGCTTGTTTGATGTGATTTCTTAATAAACCAAACCAATTCAATTCAATTCATAATAACCTATCACTTCAAGGAGTTTATACAATGCATACAGACTTGTTACTAGCAATGTCTGAAAATTACGGTTCATATCTCTTGGTTTACATGGTTCCATTAATTTCGTTTTGAAAAGCAAAACAGAATAATTATAAAAGGAGCATATCAATTAAAAGCAACACCTCAGCAAGACATATAGCATGAACAAGAAAGAACTTTTGATCGTTCCTCTAAAACAACCCCGATAACTTCAGCACTAGCCTACATTCTAGAAAATATGCTACAATATTAAAGTCGATATGAGACTTTCAAGCATTCTCCCTTTAAGATGAGTACACTTTGACATAATTGTAGCTTCATCGGGGCTGGGCCGGTATATCCAAAGTGGTGGAGAGTGGGAGATTTTGTCTCTTAAAGCCTCGTTCAGATATGACGTGGACAAAATTCGGCAGTGTTTTTATTTTTACGATTACGTAATGATGAAGTGTTACGCGCTTCATATTTCTGTATCTGTCAACACAGAGTTCAGTGAATACGCATATGACCTTTGTTGTCATTCATTTACATTAAATAAACTCACTCCCAAAATAATTAAATCTCCATAAAAACAAAAAACAGGCGTTTTTTTCGGCGATTTCCCATGTCATATCTGACATGAAATTGTTGACTGCGCTAAATCAAATAAACAATATACCCCGGGCTCTGTTCTATCAAATATCGATCATGGATCTACAATAGTAATGATAAATCGTAAGGGTGTGCTAATCTCATTGGTTTCTTTGATGTTGAATGATCGGCTGCTTTGATCGTAGTTAGTCATTACAGCGATGCCTTTGTGACTGCCTTCCTTCGTCCAGTAGAGGGAGCCATTGAAGTACCTTAAATATCGGTATGTTCGCTCTTCATCGTTATTGATGTCAGGGTCATTCATGTAGTCTGTGAGCTCGTGAGCCATTGTGAGAGTTTGGTTTACGTCCTTGTAGAAGGTTCTTTGCTTCGCAAAGTCACAGAAAAATATGCGTCGTGGATTTCCTGCCAAAACAAAGAAATGTGCAAATCTTACAAGGAAACAAGAACAAATATCTTCCTGAATAACTTAATCCTTAATTTAATAAAAGTGTAATAACAAAACACACACAACAATTGATATCAATTCAAAATCAAATTCTGAGAAGACAAGACAAGACAAAATTACATACAACTTGAAGATACTAAGTGGCAGTGGCGTACGCAGGATTTTTTAGGGGGGAGGGTTGAAATCGGTCCCAAGAAAAATCGGTAAGAGTAAGAGGACACTTTTTTTTAAGGTCCCCCAAAAATCGCAACGACTAAGCCAGCCGGGGGGGGGGGGGGTAAGAGGACACTTTTTTTTCAGGGTCCCCAAAAAATCGCAACGACTAAGCCAGCCGGGGGGGGGGGGGGGGTAAGAGGGCACTTTTTTCAGGGTCCCAAAAAAATCGCAACGACTCACCTAGCTGCTGAATAAGCGGGGGGGGGGGGGGGGGGGGGTAAGAGGACTTTTTTTGGTCTCGAAATTTGAAAATTTGATATTTTGTTCCGTTTGGGGGGGGGGGGTAACGTCACCTTTTATAGGTCACCCATTGGCTTTTTTTTTTAAATTAAAAAATAAAGTAACAAAAATAACAAAAAATAAAAAGGGAGGGTTTAAAAAAAAAATACACAAAAGATACAAATACAAAAAACTCAAGGGGGGGGGGCTAACCCGAACCCCCCCCCCCCCCCCCTGCGTACGCGCCTGCTAAGTGGTATACGTGACGTATTATATTTGGTCAGGTTGAATAAGTAATACCTTTCAGTTAAGTTCGATTCATTTCTATAATTTTCTCCTTTTTTGCTAGCCCATGGTATATTATTATAAAAACTATACAGTTATATTAATACTACAAGAAGGACGTGGAAATGGAATCATACATATTTCTAAATATTTGAATAGTTGAATTTTCCAATGCTAACACTGTCTCCCCGCGACTATTCAGAATGTTGATGTAATGCTTTTAAATGAAGGGAATATAAGTATGAGGGATTTTATCACGTCACCGAAATCATATTTCCATTATGGAATGAAGGGAATATCGTGATATTGTAATACAAAAGCAAAATAATTGTCTTTTCTTGATAAATCCATGATTTTGCATTCCAAAGACCTTCATGAAAAATCGATTCGTCTGTCCACGTACACGGATGATGTCAATGACCCTTCTAAATAAGAAATACGTACACGGCTGATGTAAAACTATGGGTAATAAGAGTGGAGCACCAGGGTCATCAAGTGTGACATACTAGTGCTGTACAAGAACACACAACAACTTTTATAATTTTCAGCGCTTGGCACTCACATGATTATTGCATTGTATTATATATCTTGTGTTTATCCTTTTATTAAACCATACCGATGCATTGTGTTCAGAATTATAAAGAGTTGATGGCTATATACCCCCATCAAAACAACTCTTGGTTTCCCCATTTATCATATTCATTCTCCCATCAAATTCATCTCTTTGTCAAGGTTCTGAAATGCCTTAATATTTGAGAATCGTTATAAAGTTTGTTACCTAAATGATATTTCGAAAAAGTTCATGATAATTTAGCGTATACAAAATAAATAATAATACAAATACCTGTTTCTTATGAAGTACTTAACAGTATTATAATTACCCCAGTTATTGAATTCTATCACCATTCTGCAGAATAACGTGCATATTCTCCACTCAATGGGGGCGTTAAAGTTAGTCGCCTACATGCTAATTCAACCACAATGACGTACCGGGTACCCATTAACACCTGAGTGGAACCATGTATAGATAAATTCTTGTTGAATTCTGATTCATTTATCTGAAATGACATGTCATTTTACTGAACCCTTCTAATATGATATACGTACGGCTGAGATCAATGCTTAATCCGGTGATTGCGAATAGATTGTCGTTATTGTACACGGTCTCCGTGCTTCCAGATCCATTGAGAGATTTGCGCTGGATATGGTTTTTCATTGACCAATACAAGAATCTGAAAAAAATTAAGAGTGTCCTGTCAATACATATCGATATCGGGAAAATCAGAAGTTGTCATGACGTCATCCTTTCACCAACATTGATAGAAATGAAACATATCCTGGTTTATCATTTGAGTAAACCTGGTGTTAGATCTCTAAAGTAAAAAGTCAAGTATTGCGGTGGCGCAAAAACGCCTCAGTATTGTAAATCGTTTATAATAAGGGCAATTATAATTAATAACATTATTATTATTATTATTATTATTATTATTATTATTATTATTATTATTATTATTATTATTATTATTATTATCATCATCATCATCTTCATCGTTATTATCATAAACACATAGTCACATACACACTGAATACAAAACATCAGGAGGCTTTCAATTGACTGTATGTATAATCATGAGGGGTACTACTTGGTAGGGTCTGGGTGGGTCAATCAAAACAACCCACACCCCTCCTTCTGAACCAACAGTATGATGACGTCATACACTTACCCCTGTTCCTCATCCACCTCCAAAATCCTAGGGAAATCGTTATACGTGGTTACAAAGTTTGTCTCACTCCCTGGAAACGCGCTTCCTTGTCCAATATCCACAGTTGTTATTTCCTGTGACTCTCTGTAGGCGATGTACAGAATGCGTGATGATTCAGCTATCGCAATTCCTCGGATCACTGAGATTAAAAGGAAATCAGGAATTCGAAACATCTTGAAATGCGGGGGGGGGGAGGAGGAGGGAGGGGGGCTCCTAATTAACGATTGAACAAAAATATTCTTTGGGGGGTAAATATTCCAAATAGATACACAAAGTAATAGCAATCAATAAACTAACACACAAACAAACAAAGATTGCAAGGTACATAATTATAACAAATCTGTATACATTCAATGTTGGTTGATATCCATCTCATAAAGAAAATATGTTTTGGAATCAGCTTTATTTCGGTGTCATATTGTGTCAGATTCTTTGAACAGTTTTATTCGTATATAATAAGATTCTGTATGTTTGTATAATCATTGGATAGAGAGCAAGTTTATCGTCTTTATCGTTTTACGTCTGAGTGTATTTCAAAGCTTTACTAAGGGACATTTTCTATGCCGTACCTTTATCGCTTTCAGAAGTGACTTCCTCTCTGTTTCCACCATCCGCATCAGCACGATAAACTCGTTGTTCATCAAAGTTATTCCAGTAGATCTTCTTCTCCACGGAGTCATAGGTAATATGACGCGGTTCTTTAGTGGATGGAATGGAAGTGAAGTTTAGGTCATCTTGTAGATCTGCAACAAAGATCTTGTACTCGGTTTCTAGGTCTATCACAAAGATCTTTGCAGTCGATTCTAAAATAAATGGGTGAAAGGAAGGTTGTTTTATTCCACAACGTTTTGATAATGTTTCTCTTACAATAGATGAACCGAATAGATCCGTATCAAGACATATTATGAAGATTAAGAAATAGGCAAATAAATTATACAAAGAATATTCGTTAACTGAGATTGCTCTCTACAGAACCAGGAATATCATGGCTCAGTTCTCCCTCGAGGTCTTAGTTCTATGTTAGAAGAGGTTTTCTGTCTATGTACATCAACACAATATTTTTCCTTTAATGTTATCTTTTTAGACTTTTTAATAACTTGTGTTGTTGTTGTTTTAGTTTTAAGGGCGTATTTTCTGTCTATTAGTCTAATTCTTAGTCTTACTTTAAAATCTTTAAAATTCAAATTAAAAAAAGAGTAAAGGCCACCACACACTGTCTTTACGATCATCCAGCGTTATGATTTCGAAGAAGAAATAAATTATACTGTATTAAATATGGAAATCTAAAACAGACATCATATTTCTGGTTTAGCTTCAGATGATGATAAGAATATCCTAACAATCGGAAATGAAGTGCATTTGAGCCTTCTCGTCAGAATAAAGGCCAAACCGGCTTCAAATCGTAAACAATCGCACTTCTAGTCTGACGTCGCTACGATTCTGAGAATTTGAATTTGATTAATCATATGACTATTCATAATGTATTTATGGGCAATAATCAGCACTTCAATGAATAATGCTCTGAATATAAATTGCAACATTGTGCTCCTTCAATTGTAAATAACAATACCAATGTACAAATGAATATCTGTCGTTCTTCCTTCTTGAGAGCTGGTAAAGAGATAATCAGTTACAGGTTCACCCTTAAGTCACATTCAATCAATGTTAATGCTCATATACGATACCTTAAAGGTATAGTTGAGTATTGGTAATTTCCAAAGTGCCCCTCCAAAACAAATTTGGTTTATTTCAGTACCATATGAAAGATCATCGAAAAAAACATGGGAGATGATAATAATTCCAAATCAAATGCTCTAATTGTTGTGCAATTTGCTTTCAAAACATTATATAAAAGTGTTTGACGTCCGGACATCACTTTTGACTTTCGACGGTTTATTTTTTGAATTTACGTGTTTAGCTCCCTCTATGTCATTTAACAACCAGCGTATTTACAACGAGTGTTTCAGTTCGTTGGTACGTACAGTACTACAGGTAGCTAGCAGGCGGGTATCCGACCGCGCGCTAGTAATACAGTACAGCTGATCAATTCCAATACGCGTAAAGTATAACACACACAGCTCATATCAGATTATCACCGGCGCCGGTCGAACGCTAGACAGCTACAGACAAGCTTTGATTGAAATACGATAACGAGATCGAGATTGGAAAAGGAGCTCGAGGTCACGGACGATGGCCGACTCGGACTCAGCTAGTGCTAAGCCTAAGGACAAGGCTAAGGCTACGCTAAATCGGAATAAGACTAAGTAAGACGGTAAGAGGAAGGAGAGAAACAAGCAATGGCAGCTCGACCATCCGGCCCAGAGGAGGCGCGGGAGTGGCTGTGAACAAGGCCAGGGTACGGCGGAGAAACTTCACGAGCTGCAGGCGGCCTTCTCGTTGCCGAGTCTAGAGGATGCAATAGACATGCCAGCTCACTGAGAGGTAAGTTGAAATGATATACGCCCCACTGCATTGGGTAGGCCTAACGTTTTAATTTGATCTAGTCTAGAGACTAGATGCATGGAATCGGCAAATTTAAGAAATTACGTTTTGTTATCTCTTGCCTTGGATTTTTAATTCAGATTTCATGAATCATATGATATTGATAGTCTAGCCTAGGTCTACAGTAGACCGAAAGCTTCAGTCTCTATATCGTCGGTTGTTCCACTGAGACTACGTCTGGCTCCACTAGACCTCCGGATGAATTTGGTTCAAATGAAAATATTGGAAGCATATGCGATCCTACAATATTCAGTGAACGTTGTCGCGTTGAAATCGAGTCTAAAGTGATGAAATTGTAAATAATAATCTCTTTATGGGGTATACTATAACTCTCTCTCAAGGTCAATATATTAATTCAGCTATACAACAAGCTACAATTGACCGATTGGCTATTACCTTTTTGAAATTATATATCACAACTACATATTCCGGGATTTTTATGGTAGCAGCTACCGTTGTACGACCGTAGGCGCTATTTTAAATTTATCAAAATTTACCGGGAGCACCGGTAAATTTTTATATTCAATTTTTTTCGAAAGCAGAAGTGTTTTAGGAGCTAAATTTTCTAGTGCTTATAATACTTCCACAGGGGCATCCAAATATATCAAAATTGTAAAGAATCACTATCCACCCAATTTTCAAAATTTCCCAAAACTTTGTAATAGACCCTACCTTTAATGTCCCTCGTTACAACTGCAGTTTTCTTTGTAATGATGACGTGCAGGGCTAGTCAACCGGGTAAACATCCTGCTCTTTTTAAAAGTCGACAAGGTTATACTATAGCTTGCTTGAGATGTGACTGTCTCATCTATATTTATCTCTACCAAAGAGTGTCTCAACTTCACATACATGACAGAGAACCAATGCATCAGTTATTAGTCATGCAAATTCCAAATCTGGCTAGCTGTGATAATTATTAGAGAATGCCATCTTCAAAATAATTTCTTTTGGTGATTTAAAATCTGAATGTTTTTTACTTTGTGAATGACTTTCGTTTCTTCACTTTTTACAGATATGAAGAACAGACAACACAATCCAACCCCAGCGAAGAAATTCCAAGCAGCAGTAGGGGAATTAGCAGGTGAATAGTACAAGTCACCTTTGACCGCAAATTCATGGAGAACTTGGCCTACTCTGCTGATTTGCTCGCTTCAGGTAGGATTCTGTATACATGTACGAAAGGCTCTGTAAATTGAGAGGAATTTAATGAGAATGCGTTCATTACGTACATGTTTGCAAGATTGAGCTCTTTTTCGGTTATGACCTATAAAATTGGGACATATCAGCAGGTCAAGATAATTGCTCATGTGTATGACATGGGATTTTCAATATTGATTTTGTGGTATGAAAATAATGAAATGCCCTATCATTTATATCAGTTTTTATTTTGTTTTCATAATTCCTTAGGCACACCAGCATGCTCGAGTGTTTCCACAACCATATACTGATGTATGCTTCCAAGCGGTATTCCTTTGAGTAAGTATTTTTAGTATCATTTTGTATGTTTGAAGTAAGATTGTGGAAAAGTTGAAACATATCATTACAGTACGGTTACAGTTACAATATCATATTTTGAAGCAAATAGCAAAGTTAATGAGAAATTATGAATGACATCTATATAAATGCTGAAATCACTTTTGGATGCATGCAGAGTCTTGAAACAGCAGACTTTGTATCGTACTTGTGTCGGTACCTGATGTTAAGTCAAGTTGGAGTGGTTGTAGCAGGGAAATGTAACTACCTTTAATTAAGAGTCAATAATTTACAACACAAATCCAGAACTGAAGTGAATGGCTCGTATTCACAAAGGAGGTTTGTACAAACCATGGTTTGGCCAAGGTTTACATCTATGGAATGCCATTTGTAAACTGATGGAGTCCGAGAAGGAATGTAAACTCCATACTTGTTAACAATGTTAATTTACAATTTACGGTATGCGAGCAGCATTCCATAGATGTAAACCATCGTCAAACCATGGTTTGTACAAACCTCCTACAAACCTCCTTTGTGACTACGGGCCAATGAGTCTGAGATTTGTCTAAAGCATTTACTATTCATTCATCATGGTAGTGGTAATACCAATTGTTTGTCTTATCCATCCAGCTACCCAGCAAACCGGGCAAGGAATTTGCTTGCCGTCATCGACTACATGGCACACAAGGACAGGCCCGACCAGATTGATGAACAAGGCAATACAAAGTGAGTGGAAATTAGAAAGAAAGAAAAAAAGGTTTTCTTTTCTTTCTTGTTTTTCCTATTTTTATTTGTACATTTTTTTTTAGATGGACAAGGCAATCCAAAGTGGGTGGAGTAAAAAAAACAAACATGATTTTTTGTTTTCCCTGTGTAGTTGGACAGGGCAATCCGAATTGGCAGTTCTTTCCCATGAAATTTATCAATTTTGGGGAAATTATTAAATATCTAATTGTCCTTCCTGGGAACGCCCCTTTTAAATCGCCAAAATATGACGTCATCTAAAGAAGTTGTCCCTGTACACGACGCACATCTAAATTATGTAGATGACGGACTGTAAGCTGATGGTTTGTCAATCATGCTGCTGATTTTGGACCCTAAATGCGGACTTGGATTCAGTGTAATAATATACTTGGTGTGTAATGCAAGGTTCTGGAGTCATCAAAATCATCATAAATTTGGCAGAGTTTTGGTAAAGTAACAATCACTTACACAGAAAGATGTATATGGGACAACACACATGGTGTCGGCCTGTCGGGGCTAGTACTACCCTGATTTCCTTATCTTTCTATGCTCATTACTCAGCCAGTATACATTTTCTTCCAAAATTGTTTGGCACATGACATTTATTTGTAATCTTGAACATTCAGTGTAAGTTTCGTTAGATTCTGTGAGAATTCATTTTCTTTTTTTTACCAGAACTCAAGTTTATCTTTAAGAGATATGAATCATTTCCAATTGACAAGAATGAGTGTGCATATAATGCAACTTGTTACATTTTGCATGTTCTTTTATTTTATGATACAGATATGTTGCAGTATGGTCAAAGCGTGCCAACTATGTGGCCCGGAAGGAGAAGGTCCCCAAGACCTACCCCTACATGTATGTACAAGGACTCATCGGTGCGATACTGGAACGCAGAGAACAGGACCAAGGACCACTGTTCTCGAAGGCTGTTCTGCTCCCTGATGACCCTAGACACACAAGGCCCCGGCTTGCACCATTTCCTCCACCACAAGTTGATGTGATCCTAGCCAGGAGACTAGGCCGATTAGAGAAATCCATGTAATCCTCTGTAGTGAACATTTGGGATTGTCTGACTTGAGAA